GCGTGTGCTTGCGGGCGCGCCGGTCCGCTTGCAAGGCGCGCTGCCGCCGCCCCCCATCCTTGTCCTTCGGCGCCGCTTCCATCTCGTCGGCCGCAGTAGGTGCCATCGCTGCCCGCGTCGTCGGCCTCGGCGGCGGTGGCGGCCGCGACGGCTGCCGTTGTCCTGGCGGGCCCCTTGTCCGCGAGTTTCTCCGGCGACTACCTCAACGGAGGCGGTCTCCTGGACTGCAGTTTGGATCGCGCCTCGGGGCGAGCCGGCGCGCGCGTCCTCGTCGGCCCAGGGGCCGCTGCAGGCGGTGGCGAAGTCGTCGTCGGGCTCGCCGGCGGGCTCGTTCGGCGGGCCTTCGAGGGCGTGGGGCTCGGAGTTGTAGGCGCCTGAAGGATTCGGCGCCGCTTCGTCGCAATCGTGAATTGCGTGCGGCGCAGGAGACTCCTGTATGCGAGCGACGCAACGAGCTTCAGAGTGCGCTCCTTCGGGCCCAAATCGGTCTGCAGGCTGCTGGCTCCGAGCCGCGAGGCGAGTGGGGTCCTTCTTGGGATCGTAGTTCGGGTCGTAGTACTGGGGGCCCGTGTCACTACTGTTGAGCTCTGAAGGGTGCCATCTGGATCGAGATCGAACGCCCCGGGCCAATGCGTATGCCGATGTGAGTATGATCTGCACGAGGAGCCTGTAGCTGCGGACCCGATATCCTTTTCGCGCGCTACACTCACTGGCATTTTATGTCTCACTTTCCATACTTTGCAACAAGCCACCAGGAACACAATTTCAAACTCTTGCGACAGCATTGACCAGGACCCGGGCTTCCAGGATCAGGATATCCTCGGGGAAGACCCACGCGCCAAGTGGGACGAGACGCCGCCCATCACCATGCAGAAGGCCCCAGGGATCTTGGGACAGTCTTCGGGCGCCTCCCAGGAGCCAGTCTCGCGAGCGCACAGGCGACTAGACGAATCCGGCAGCAGAGAGGGCACTGGCGCGAGCGGGAACCCTCCGAGACGACGACACCGAGAGCGCTCGAGGGTCCCCCCATGTTTTTTGGCCCCTGACGGCCCGAAATCTAAGCCGGCAGTGCTCCGGCCGCGCGGGCTGGCGTCCACGGACAGCACCCGCGAGGGCCGCGGCCGATCCCACTCTGAACGCAGGAGCGGCATGCGGCCCAGGATGCACTCGAGCTCGGGCCGCACGGTTCCCCAGACCTCTCTCCTGGCCCAGTGCCGCTCGCGGGCGACCGCGTATGCGGCGTGCCGCGCCGACGAGCTATCTCGACGCATCAGTCCGATGAGCGCGCAGTGGCCGAGCAAAACCTCGAGTTCTCGCCCTGCCGGGCGCCTGAGTGCCTGGGCCCTGCGAAGACCGAGCCGCGCCGTCCAGCGGCGCTGATGGTTGACCGCGGTCTGGCGCGATTGGCCGTCGAGCCTCGCGCCGAAGGCCTCGGCGGTCGCCAACTCCACGGGGGCGTCGTGCATGGCGAGCCTGGCTCTGTTGAGAGCCTCGGTGGTGTCTGCCAGGCCGTGGCGCGCTTGGGCCGGGTCGAGGGTGGGGGGCCCAGCGTTGTCCGCGTGCGCGAAATGCCAAGGCGAAGCAGGAGCGACTGCTATCGGGGCCCCCCGATCGGCAGCCGCGTGGCTCGACGCGACCGCAGACGCGCGCTCCGCCATCCCGACTTTCCTTGGCAAGGTGCAAGGGCCAGGACCAGCACGTCGGCAGCGCCAGCGAGCGCGGCCGCGCGCGGTCGTCGGCGCCCGCGGCTGCCCCACTGATGACCTGCCCGACAACGCCGAACACCTTCGCCAGTCCCTCCGGGTAGCAGAAGCAGCGTGACAGGTCACTGCCGAACAACACGCGGTGGAAACAGTCTTTGACGTCGGCTTTCCCCCAGTGGATGGGCAGGGGCCCGTGCTGGTCCACCTCGTGCCCTATGCGGCCCAGGCCTTCCGAGCCCCCATGGACTGTCTCACTTTCTTTCACGCGAAGACAGCGCCCTCGAAATCCATGGGCTCGCTGGTGAAGCCCGCCAGCCCCTTCCGCCTCAGGTCCTTGAAGAAGGTCGAATTGAGGCGGCGGCTGTTGGCGAGCTGCGGGTCGGTGTAAATCAAAATCTCAGCGTGGGTCTCGCGATCAAGCTGGACATCGTCATCGGTCCTGATCTTCTGCTCCTCTGCCTCTACGAGATGCTCGAAAGCGGGGCCCCCGGCCGCGGCTGCGACTGCCGGGGCCGTCGTGAGATCATCCGGGGGAGGTGCCGCGCCGCGTAGGCAGGGTGCCGGGGCAGCTGCGGCCGTCTCGGCGTCGTAGACCCCGCGGCAAAGAAGTATCCCCGAAAAGGCCCCCTTCGTATTGGGGCCAGGAGGCGGGCCGCCAAGTGGTTGAGCCCCCCGAGCGATGCGCTCCAGAACGCCCCATTGGAGACGGCATGGGTGAACTTCAACGTGAGCTCGATCTCCCAGTGGGCGATGCTGAGAGCCCCGCAACCAACTGAGATATCGCGCGCAACGCCGCCAGCCCCTCTCAAAATGGCGCCGGGCACGACCGCGAAGGAGGCTCCGGCGGCCCGAGATCGCCGACGGGTCGACGGGGGGCGGGGACATCTCAGAGGATCTGCGCGCATGCCCGCGAAGGCGAACGGCGGCGGGCGGGCCAGCTCCGCCGCCGAGGGCCATCTTGTTCATGGGGCCGCCGCCCCGTCGGCGCCCTTGCCTCCTTTGGGGACCCCTTGGGCGTGCCATTCGGGGGCTGGCCCTTCGGGGTGCCAGCTCCGGCGCCTGCGCCTGGCCCGGGCAATCATCCGGGGGCGACGGCGTCGGCTGCGAGTGGGGGCGTCCTCGCCCAGGGCCGCGTGGATTCCGCCTCCGCCTCGTCCTTCGCCAACTTCGCCGCGTGATGCTCAAGCTCGGGCGCGGCCGTGTCCGCCGCCGAGCCTGCGCCCGAATAGAGGCGTGCGTTGGCCCGCTGGGGTCTGGGCGGGTCGACTGAGTGGGCGTCGGCGATGCTTTAGATCCTGCAGGCAATGTTCTCGAAGCTCACGAGAGGCGGCGCGTTGAGATGATCGCGGGCGCCTCCTGCGTAGATGACTTCCGCCAAGATGGACCACTCATGATATGCCCTCTCGCTAGCGCCTATGTTCTTCGAGCGAACCAAGATATGTAGTCACAATCGGATGTTGCCTCCGTGTCGATCAGAATGCCTGAGGATGGACATCGCGCTCGAGGGGCCTTCAACAGGGCTGTCCGTGAAAGTCGTAGGATAGCTCTCGGGAACCAATGTGTGCCAGAATCTGACGTTCTGGGCATCGGTGTCCACCCGCAGAGTGCGGACGTCGCCAGGCTCTGCTGTTGTCTGGGGCCCAAGGGCGGAAGCGGGCTCCTCGGGGCGCTGCTGCGTTGGCGCTATGCCGACGCGGCGCCCGCTGGGGTGCCCAGCCCCCGCGCTAGGCCCTGCTCGTTCACCACCCAGCGGTGCCGCTCGTCGCCCACGACGAGCGCGCCCGCGCCCGAGTCAGGTAACCAGTCTGGCGTGCGAGTCGGCGCGGGAAGCGGAACAGGGCGGGCGCCGCCGTCGTCGCCCCCTGCGTCGCTGCCGTCGGCGCCGACCGCTGGGGCCCCCGCGCCGAGAGCGGCCGCCGCCACGCCAAGCGTCGCCTGCCACGGCTGCTTGCCCTGCATCTGGTGCCGAAAGAACGGGTACTGGCGCTCGTCCTCCGACTCGAAGTGCGTCGGATCGCTCGGCGCTTCGCGCGACGGGTCAGCAGCGCGGACCGCGTCGACCTCGGCCTTGGCCTCCGCAAAGAGCCCCCTTGAGATCGACGTCCGACGGCATTCGCTCGAACGCCGTAGTCTTGGCCCCGTCGTCCGGCACCGGCCTCGGCGGCTGCCTGGCCACCATGCGGCGCACCTTCACCCAGTCCTTCCCCTCCTCCACGTACAAATGGCCACCCGCCGTGTACACGATCCACGAACCATCATGGAAAGGCCAGACCACGATGCGGTCGTGCCGAAAACCAGGGTCCGTGGCGAATGACACGAGCGACTGCGCTCCCAGCAGCCAGTCGCGGTCCATTCACGATCACACGCGGCGAGCTGTCCTCGGACGGACGCCGCTGGCTGCAGCAATAGATCACCAAGAAGGACTCGAACACGCGGAAAACCTCGCAGATCACGGTCCTGGCCTCGAACGCTGCGGGCACTGGGCTCGGTGCCGACGACGAGGGCGGCGGGCTCGGCGAGGCAGGGGGGGCGAGGCCCGCGCGTTCGCAGGAGCACTCCCACGGCAGCGGCTCCAGGCACCACTCGGCGGGCGCCGCAAAGCCAGCGAACGGCGGCGCCGCCCGCCCGGCCAGAGATCTGGCCAGCCAACCAGAGATCGATGGGGGCAATCACAGCGATGCGGGCGAGGACTGCAGCTTGGGATGGCGTGACAGCCACCGGGCGAGGAACCACTTTATTTTGATGCTTGAGCCCAGTCGGTTGCGGAGGGCAGCTCTGTGAGCTCAGGCCTGGACACGACACCCGTATACAACTAACTCATCAATCCCGCGCGCGCACTAACATTCTAGTCGGGAGCTTGGAGAGAGGGTTCGTTGCAGCATTGTTGGTGCATCTTGGGTTTACGTTGGTCCTTCTCCTTCTCCACTTTCGCCCTCGCGTTTCATATCCCCGCTCCTCCTTGCCACTGCCCTCTTCAATTTTTGCCTGCCACCATCCTCTTCCTCCTCCTCCTCCTCCTCCTCCTCCTCCTCTTCCTCCTCTGCCTCCGGCTCTTCCCAGAAAACATCCTGTGAGATCCGACGACGCGTGGAAATTGCAACATCGTGAAAAATCACAACTGCTGGGCCCCATCTTCCTGCGTCATTTTCCAAACCGGATCGATCTGCGAATGTCTCCGGGCCCTCAACTGGGCAAAAACGCCAGCTCCAAAACGTGGAAACGCCAGGATCTCAAGGTCCGGGGTCTCTGTCTGGGGCGAAGGCGAGCCAGCGGCAGGGAATGCCCCGCCCCCGCTGCCTCCTCGAAAGTCTTGCCCCGGTGCTTCCCGAAGCTCAGCGTCGCCATTGCCCCCGGCCCGGCGCGAGCCCCCCAGCCCCCCCCCCCGCCCCTTCGCGCCTCCCTGCCGGGCGGCGGCCGGCGTCGATGGTAGCGGCGCGAGAGAGTCGCCGTGAAACAAGAGGGTCCTAAAGGAAACGGGTCCTGATTACTGGTCGCAGATTTTGGGCGCTCTCGGGGCCCTCCCAAGGCCCCTTGGGCCGCCACAAAAGGATCCATGAGGAAGAGCTGGTCTGGTCTCGGGCGTGCTTAGGCTGGTCTAGGGTAGAGAGACAGAGGCCCCAGGCTGTCCAGGGGGCCCCTCTCCCAGCTCCTACAGTGCACTTCTCTTTCCCCACCATGCATCGTTGACTTGCACTACACAACGCCCGAAAGCCCTTGTTGGGCGGCGGCCGGTGCCGATGGCAGCGACGCGTGAGAGGAGAGCCCCGAATCATCAGGGCTGGGGGTGGTCAGGAGTACAGTCGCCCCGCATAGTAAGGATGGGCAACCTTCCTAAGGGTACCATGCGTCCTCCATCCTTAGCGACTTTCGCTGCCCACCCACGTTATCGTGGCCCGCCTAGGCCCTTGCATCCATACCGCGCATCCTTATGATACGGGTTGACTGTAGCTCCAGGGTCGTGCCTGGGGGGCCCAAGCCAGAATTGCCCCAGAGCGGAATGGTCCCAGATCACTTGGGGCGTCCAACCACTCCCGGATCGTCGGGGCTGAGGGTGGTCAAGGGTCATGAACTCTTGGTTCGTGCGTCGGGGGCCCAAACCGGAGTTACCCCGGACTGGAGTTGCCCTGGATGATCCGGGCGTCCACGGCGTGGAGAACACGGAAAAAGATGCGTGCTCTGTTTTCGGGGCCGTGGCACCATCCAAACTTATAGATCTGAAACGGAAGTCTATCACGTGCCTGTGACCACTTCTGCCTGAACCCGACTGCGACCAGACCAGACCAGCAGCAAAACGATCACAGCATGGAGCCAGGCGCTACCATCAATGCCAATGCATTTCAACAGGGGAGAGAACCTCCCCGAGAGTTTGGTGTAGATCTGTTTCATGCTGGAGGCTTGGGCTTGAGCATCCCCAGCGGCTTCCGTCAGTCTCAGACTGACAGAAGCCGTCCGTCGAATCAGCAAGAATCGGCAGAAATCGGCCGACACTTCGAGTCGGCAGGGGTCAGATCGGGCGAACTCGAGATCGACGGATCGGGCGGAATCTCCTCATCGAACTGGCTCGCATCGGCAGCCTGGGACATCGAAGCGAAGCGAGCCGGCGGAATCGGAGCGAACACTGGCCGGTGCCTGGCGTCTCTCAGGAGGGGAAAGAACACACAGGCACAATTAATCGGCGATCCCCAGGAAAATATGGGATAATATGGGAAGTGGGGGGGAAGACGAAAACCCAGAGAATATGGGAAAATATGGGGAACCTTTTTATTTGTGTGTATTTATTTGTCTGTCCCAGGGCCCCTTCAGTCTCGAGAGCTCTCTGCCCCGAGCTGGGCCTCTCGAGGCCTGGGCCCCGCCTCGGGTCCCGTGGCCCCAGCAGACCAGGCACGGTGCGAGTGCGCTGCGAGGCACGGTCAAGATTGGGTGCGGAGGATGCACGACGAAGAGGCCCTGCGATGGACCGAAAAAGGAGCCCAAACCCTGTGGGAGGGGGCTTCAGTTAGGAGGGCCAAGCAAATTGGGGATAGGGGCTCTCTTCTGCAGATGTATCGAAACAAACCGCTCAGAACTACTATCCCTGATGCGAAGACGGGGACCTCAGTGAGGCCACGCCTTCAATGTGATAGACGGGCTATGGGGTTCCTTGAGCCTCGATGGCCTTTTGACCCACACGTCGAAGCCTTTCGAGCGGGGCTGGCCATCGAAAGTGGTTGAGGACGGGCCGAAGATGACCGAAGAGGCAAGGATGCAGGGGTACCCGTGGGAAATCGATCATCCTCACAATCCGGCTTCGACTGTATGGTGTCGAACGAGTTCCGGAGCCCCATGTACTGAACAAACAGAATGGGCTCAACGCATCCCCAGCGTTCCCTCTCACGAAGCGCGAAGCCATCGCATCCCCAGTGCAACTTGCACTATGAGCGTTGCAGGCGTACCCCGCCCTGTGAAGGGATCGACCTGCGACAAGCAATAGGAAAAAAGTACCTCGCCACAAACTAATCATATCTCGAGGATGTGCTGTTCCGTGCAATCCTGTGCTATGCCCTGCGCAAGCCGTGCAAAACGATGCCATGCAATGCGCTACAAGGCACCGCAAACAAATTCACTGCAACGCCTGAATACAATCCCCCAAATCTCAATCGCTATGCCAGCCACGCAATGTAAACCAACTCCACCGTGCCCTCTGACACGTTGCAGCGTGGTAGAATACCCAGGGCTGTCTTGTAGGGCTTCTTTAGTCCTCTAGGCCCCCGCCACACCTCTCGTCACGCTCCCCCAATGTGGCCCGCCCTCCTTCCCCCCTTTCCCGCGTAAGAAACTGGATCCGCGTTCCCGAGGCCACGATCCATCGCACAAAACTATTGATTCACGCTCCCGAGGCCACGCTCCCTCGCCGAAGTACTCGACCCACATACGCCCATCCATGTGTGCACATCATGTCCTGGCACGTCCCGCTGTGTGTGTGTGTGTGTCTGAGTTGGCGAGTCTTCGCCGATGGCCGAAAGCTCCTCGGCGGCTTCCCCTTGGGGTGCCCGAGTGATGTGCCTGCTACGTGTCGGTGCTCCTGGGGCTCTGGGAAGAGTGGGATCGGGGGTGCCAGAACCAGCGTCTCGGTTGAGACGTCGGCTGCGAATGGGCACCTGTAACCACCTGGTGGCTCCCCCTCAGGGTGCCCAAGTGCTCTGCATCTGAGTGTGAGCGGTCTGAGCGTGGTGAATCTGAGTGTGAGTGAGTCTGAATGCGAGTGGGTCTTAGTGCGAGTGAGTCTGAGTGTGGTTGAGTCTGGGTATGCATGAGTCTGGGTATGGGGAAGTCTTAGTGTCAGTGGATCTGAGCGCGTGTGGTCTGAAGGCGATTACTCTGAGTGACTCTGAGTGTGGAGGAGTCTGAGTGCGAATGATCAGGGTGTGGGTGGTCTGTGTGCGTGAGTCTGAGTATGACAGATCTGAACCTGCGGGAATCTGAATGTGGCTAGGTGGAGGCAAGCGGGAATGAAGGAGGAAGAGGGAGGTATGGGGAGGCCGAGCGAGCGAACCGTCTGAGAGATCCCCGCAAACCTGCGCGCGAACGGACACGCTTCATACCCCTGGCGCCTCCTCCTTGCGGTGCCCAAATGCCACGCCTGCTATATCGCACCGACGCTGAGGCTCTCAAAAGGAAGGATCCTGGTGGGGCACAAACAATAAACCGCCTGAGGCATCCCCGCAATCTGCACGCGAACTGGCAAATGCCATGCACCCTGGCTGCTCCTCCTTGGGGTGCCGAAGCGCCACGCCTGCTACATCGCCGTTATGAAGGAACGCTCAGGCGAGATGATTCTGGGCAGCCAAGCAGGCAAACCGTGCGACACGTCCCCACAATCTGGGCGCGGACGGGCCAATGCCATACCCCCGTGCGGCCCCTCCTTGGGGTGCCTAGGTGCCGCGCCTGCTGTATCGCGATGGGCATGGGGCTACCTATAGAAATGAATCTGAGCAGCAAAACACACTATCCCCACAATATGGGCGCGACCGGGCCAGTGTGGTACCCCCTGGCGGCCCCCCCTTGGGATGCCCAACTGCGACCCCTTATTTATCGCGGTGAGCACGAAGCTCTCAACAAAGATGGGTCGGATCAACCAGATACGCAAATCGCCTGACACATCCACCCAATATGGGTTCGAACGGGCCAGTGTCGAATCTTCTCGTGGCCCCCTCTTGGGATGCCCGAGCGCCACGCCCGCAATACCGCGATGAACCTGAAGCTCTCTCAAAAGAAATGAGTCGGATCGGCCAAACACGCAGATCGCCTGAGGCATCCCCACAACCTTGCCGCGATGGGCCAGGTGTCATATCCCTGGGGTGGTCGGCCACGCTCTCTCTATCGCTGTGATCACTGGGCTGCTGACGGAAATCGCTCCGATCAGCCAAGCGCGCAAACTGGCGGAGCCATCCACGCAAGCAGGCCGCGAGCGGGCAAAGCGGCGTACCCCCTGCCTGCCCCCTCCTCGAGGTGCCCGGAGGCCGCGCCTGCGGCACGGCGGTGATCACCGGGCTCTTGCAAGATATGGCCCTGGGCAGCAAGAGAGGGCAGAACGTCCACCCCGATAGTAACCACCCCGACACGCGAAGCCGTTCAGTACAGTAGGGGCCCGACCACGAGAAACCTTCCACAAGAAGCCCAACCCTGAGACCCCAGAACGTCCATTCATTTTTGGTGGGGAAACGTCACGCTTTCCATAGCAGAACCATCGAAACCCAAGAAACCCAGGGCTTCCTGGAGGCGAGCAGGGTGTTTCTTGGCATGGGCCTCCACTGTAAACGCACCCAAAGAAGGAATCAAACAGGGCAGGGCTGTGTAGTAAACGCCCAGGGCCGTTTAGTAAACGCCAGGCGAGCCGCCCGACGCATCTCCACGACCTGGCCGCGAAAGGGTACGCGTCGTGGACTCTGGCGGCTCCTCCTTGGGGTGCCCAGGCGCCACGCCTGCCGCGCCGCCGCGATCACCTGGCCCTCAAGAGACAGGCGTCTGACCAGCCAGCGGCACGAACCGCCCGAGACATTCCCGCAGTCTGGTCGCGAGCGGGCAGGTGGCATGCCCCCTGGCGGCTCCTCGTTCGGGTGCCCACGTGCCACGCCTGCTTTCTCGCGGTGACCACGGGGCGCTCAACAGAGAGCGTGTGAGTGAGTCTTCGTGTGCGTGAGTCCGAGGGTGCGTGAGTCCAGGTGTGGGCAAAACTCTGTGTGCATGACTATGGGTGCGCGTCTGAGTGTGGGTACGAGCATGTTGAGTATGAGCGTGTCTGAGTGCGAGCGAGCCCGAGTGTGAGTGAGTCTAAATAGGAGTGAATCTGAGTATCAGTGGATCGG